CTAGCTCTCACTGATCTCTGAGGTAGAAGGTTGGCCTGTCAGATGCACTAGGGAAAGGCAGTACTTCCAATCCCAGAGAGTCCAACTGCAGCTGAGTGATCTAAGTAGTGAATGAGACAAAGTTTAGATAGTTCGTACTCCAGTAAATCTCTAATGTTCATTAAGCATTTAAATTTCCTTGCATTTCACACGCATTTGTGCATTCATATTCATTCTAAAGGTTGCTCACCCACGCTTGTTCCAGCCCTATTTTTAGTGACCACGGGCATGACTTTATGCCATCCCTGCTTGCCCAAATGACTCACATATTTGCAGCAGAAAAGGAAGAACACACCAGTAACCTGTAAGAGACTGTTCAGATTCATATCTTTTTAAACTTAGTTTAAAGTTGTTCAAACATGCAGAAAAGGAAAAGTAGAGCCAAAGATGAATGCTGGCACGGCACGGCTGTTTCATCTGTTCCTCTTTGTCGAGGTGGGCAGCCTATTTCCTAGTCTGTGGTGTCTCTTATTTTCAAAAGGCTTTACATCTCAATTGGCTCAATTAAAAGGGATTGATTAAACCTATTTGTCAAGCCATCTGCTCCGGGTGCTTAGGAAAGTGGTAAAATGAGACAACTGCTTAGAGGGGAGCCTAATGCCACATTTCATTTACTGTGCAGGGTGTTCTTAAGCCTAAAGCAGTCCCTAAGCCTGACGTACTGACTGATGAATAAATTAATCTGTAAGTTCATAGATGGTTGTTGTGGCAGAAGCATTGAGAACAATACTGGCAAACTCTAATTGACGTGCTAGAAGAAAGTGTTACATCTTCTATGATAGAACTGATCTAATGCCATGAACCTACAATAGGCTGAGCCCCAGGAGGGGTGCCATATTAAGGGCTCTGCTTTGGAATTTGGGGCACTTAGCAGTGGCTATAGACTGGCCCTTTTGAATGAAGTTCATGTTGAAGTGTGTATCAATAATTCATTACATTTTATGGCTGGATAATATTTTTCAAATTTTGTATTGAATTTTTGTGTATTTCATACAGAACATCTTAATCCCCATTGGCCCCTTCCTGTAACCTCCCCCACTGGAATTCATACATTCTGTCATTTGTGTTAAGGCCTATCATGTCATGTTGGTGTCCCCAGATGTTCCTCAGTGCAAGTTAATCCACTGTGGTCTAGTCAGTCTATCTAGAGGCCCTCCCTCTAAGAAGATCATCTCTACCTCACCCAGCAGTAAGCAGCTGCCAATAATTTGACTAAGATTGGGGCCTGCTGTCCATTTCCACAGTTCTGAGCTGGGTTTTTGTCTGCTTGAGTTTGCATAGGTCTTGGGCATGCTGACACCATTACAATAGGTTCATATGAGAGGGGTCCCTGTAGGACTCTATTTGCATATGGTCATATACCTCATCCCTGACTCTTACAATCTTTCCATTACCTCTTCCAAAATGGTCCCTGAGCCCTAGGTAGGTAGATTTTAATATAGAAGTCCTGTCCAAGGACCCACACTCTGCAGAATCTTGCTTTCTATGTTTTGGCCATTTGTAACCTTTTGTGTTCCTGGCCCTCTGTTGCATGAGGGAGCTTCATTGATGAGAACTGAAAGATGCATTAGTGTTCTCTTCATCCCTTGTTTTATGTTACATAAGCCTTAGGTGTAGAGGTTGCATTGTAGATGTGCCACTTAGGCTTGGACAATTCACAGACAATCTCTGTGTGTGACCAGTTTTGGAACTCTGTAATAATCTCTGACTACTGAAAGAGAAGCATCTTTGATGGGCAATAACTGGGATACTTGACTGTAAATTTAAGGATCCATATTTTGCACATAGTAAGAAATTACATTTGTCTGGGGATGTGACAGCCTTAGGGTTTTCTTGAAGATCTATGACCTTCCCTGGCTGGATAATATTTTATTACATGGATATAATACATTTTATTTACCTAGTCATCATTTCTGTTGGTTATGTCTACATTTTGGCTATTGTAAATAATGCTACTGCAAGCATTCATGTACAAGCTTTTGTATGAATATGTTTTTGTTTCTTCTAGGTGTGTACCTCAGAGTGGAGTTGCTAGGTTCATAGTAACCATATTTAATCATGAGAAAACCCACCAGATTGGCTTCCAAAATGGCTGTAAATTTTTAGTATCTCACTAGCAGTGTATACGTTATTATTTCTCACCATCTCTGTTGTTACCTGACTCTTTAACTTTTTAGCTAACTTTTAGGTATCCTACTAGGTGTAAAATGATATCATTGTGGTTTGATTTGCCTGATTATAATAGCCAATAACTATTGGAAATCTTTTTGTGTGCTTACTGGTCATTTGTTTGCTTTCTTTGAAAAAATGCCTGGTAAGATCTTTTACCTGTTATTTAACATTTTTTGTTATTTTATGTGTATGAAATAATGTATATGCACCCATCCAATGCCACAGAGGCCAGAAGAGGGAGACATAGCCCCTGGAACTGGAGTTAATGGACAGTTGTTAGGTTCCCTGTTGGTGCTGGGAACCTAACAGAGGTCTTCTGGAAGAGCAGCCAGAGCTCTTAACAGCTGAGCCATCTCTCCAGCCCCTTTTTATGCATTTTTAAATTTTTATTTATTTTAATTCTGTGTGTATGAGTGTTTTACCTGTGTGTATGTAAGCGCACTTGTGCCATGCAATGCCTGTGGAGGCTAGAAGAGGGTGTCAGATCCCCTGGAACTGGAGCTACGGATGGTTGTTAGCTACCATGTGGGTGCTGGGAACTGAACCCAGGTCCTCTGCAAGAGCAGTCAGTGCTCTTAACCACTAAGCCATATCTCCAGCCCCTACCCATTTTTAATTTGGTTTTCTGTTTTGTATTATGTAGTTCTGTTCTTTGACTATTCTAAATGTCTCTTATTGAATATATGATTTTCAATTTTTTTCTCCTATCCTATGGACTGTTCCTTAGTTAAGTGCCCTTTGAATCACAGAAGACTTAAGTTTTGATTATGTTTGTATATTTTGTGGCTGCTGCTAATGCTTTTGATGTCCTATATAAGAATCCATAGCCAAATAAGAGGTCATAGATATTTATCCCCATTTTCTTCTAAGTTTTTTATTATGTTAACTCATAATTAGTTATGAGTTATATTAATGAACAAATGTACTTTGTTGGGGTTTCCTTTTCTTTTCTTTTTTTTTTTTTTGAGACAGGGTCTGTAGCCCCAGCTGTCCTGGAACTCACTAGGTAGACCAGGCTAGCCTTGAACTCACAGAGATCCACCTGCCTCTGCCTCCGAAGTGCTGAGATTAAAGGCATGTGCCACCATGCCCAGCTATGTACTTTGTTTTTAAAGTACTGGAAAAATAACTCTTTGATCTATTTTTAATTCATATTGTGTGAGATGAAAGTGGTATAACTTCATTTTTATGCATGTAGCTATCTGGATGTCCCATCACCATTTGAGAAAGGAAAGGGAGATGAGGGAAGGAAAAAAGAAAGAAAAAAACCCATTCTCTTCCTCCATTGCATTATCTTGACATGTTTATTGAAAGTTAGTTGCCCAGAAAAATGTGTTTATTTCTGATAATTCATTTATTTCTGTGGTTCACTCATCTATTATGTTCATGCTTTGCCAGTACCACATGATCCTGGTGACTGTTGCTTTGTAGTGGTTTTTGAAATTGAGAAATATGGGTTTCTGTACTTTGTGCTTCTTGTGCAAGATAGTTTTAGCTCTTCTAGATCCATAACAGTTCCATATGAATGGAATCAACTTGCCAATTTCTGGATACAAATACGACTGGCATTCTGACAGAGAAAGAAGGCCCTAAGTTTAGAGACTCTTAAATCTAGAGTTTGGGGATACTGTCATCTAAGCACTAGTATGTCTTCTGATTCCATATGTTTATAACCTCAATAGATTCTTTCAATAATATTTTCAGCTTTTAGAAAATAAGCTTTACATTCCTCTTGTTCAAATTATTCATAAATTTTTAAACATTTACTGTGTGTGTGTGTGTGTGTACGCACGCGCATGCACAAGATGTGTATGGACAGATGTGCAGAGGTCAGAGGAAAGCTTTAAGGAATTATTTCAGTCCATCTCTACATGGATTCCTGAGATTGAACTCTGGTAAGGTGGGTGGAACTCAGATCACAAGGCTTGCCCAGAAAGCACCTTTACCCACTGAACCATTTCACCAATCCTGATTTGTTATTTATCCTTGAGTTCTATTCTTTTTAATACATTGTATATAGGCTTGTTTACAATTTACTGTATACCAGATTATGTCACCTGTGAATAAAGAAAGGTGTGCACATTTGGCTAGTAGACCTTTCATGACATTCTGCTACTCTTGTCCTCTTACATTGCTGATCACCACTGCACCCCTCTGAATCATACCATTATCTGGTTCCTTTCCTTGGGGAACACTCACAGTTGCCTAAATTTGTATCAAGTGGTCAAGTTGCCACTTGTTTAGAGATTTTGCCTAAAATACTAGACTCATGCTGTTTGCAAGCAGAGCAAAATGTCACAAAGGCCTCATGTACAATGCTCAGTCTTGTGACCAACAGATGAAGGCCTCTTTCCCAAAACATCATCCTAAACAACTTCCATGTTATGCTAAACCTTGAGATTTTTGTCTATTGGAAATGGTAACAAAGAAAATTTCTTTAAAATATTTGTTTGTTTGTTTGTTTGTTGTGCTAGGGATTAGACTCAGGACCAGATGT